GAGAGAATCAGAAGTTTGGGGGAATTCATGGCAGGACATAATTGCAACATGTATATTGATTTTCCAGAGATAACAAAACAAATGTTCGTGGAGATTGGACTTAGTTTATTACATTTATTTCCCCACAGAGCTGATGTTTCTCTATTAGAAAGAAAAAAAAAAAAAAACAACAAAACCCACCCTGATGTTCTTAACTGCATTGTTTTTTCCTGAGATGTTTATTAAGTTATTCCCGGATCCCACTGGCTCTGTCTTTTTGCAAATTGGTTTTGTTTGGAAGGAGGTTCCACTTTGCAGCAGTTTATGAAGCATCTTTTTATTTCCCCCCCCCCTTAAAGGGGGGAATTAAAAGGAGCAGGATCTTGCCCTGATGGGCATCACAGAAGCCTGGAATGATTTGGGTTGGGAGGGACTTTGGGGATCATCCAGTTCCAGCTGGAAGGGACACCTTCCACGAGCCCAGGGTGCTCCAGGGATGTTATTCAGCCTTAATCCCACTGGCTCGTGGAATCATGGAATCATGGCTCATGGAACCATGGAATCATGGCTCATGGAATCATGGCTCATGGAATCATGGAACCATGGAATCATGGCTCATGGAACCATGGCTCATGGAATCATGGCTCATGGAACCATGGAATCATGGCTCATGGAATCATGGAATCATGGCTCATGGAATCATGGCTCATGGAATCATGGAACCATGGCTCATGGAATCATGGAATCATGACTCATGGAATCGTGGAATCATGGAATCATGGAATCATGGAATCACGGAATCATGGCTCATGGAACCATGGAATCACAGAAGCCTGGAATGATTTGGGTTGGCAGGGATTTTGGGGATCATCCAGTTCCAGCTGGAAGGGACACCTTCCACGAGCCCAGGGTGCTCCAGGGATGTTATTCACCCTCAATCCCACCGGCTCCCAAATCTCCTGGTCCCTTTTCCAGGCTGTCCCCAAGCCCTGGGTTTAATCCCAGCAACACCCCCAGCTCTGACCGACTGGGATTTCAGCTCCCGTTTCTCTCGGAGCACAATCAGGCCTCGGAATGGTGGGGGCGGGGGGAGAGGGGAGGGGAGATTTTTCCGCGGCGACAATTAAAATAATGAAAATGAACTTTAAGTGACATTCAGCCGCCGTCACCTGCTCCCGAATCCCGGGAGCTGCAATCGGAGCCATCGTTCACTGCGGGGCGACTGCAGCTGCAGCCATTCAGAGCTGGGCTCAGACACTGCAGCAGCCCTGAAAAAGCAGCCTTTTCAGGTGTCAGGACCTGCCACGGGTGCCTGATTTCCAGGAAAGCTCAATATTTGGACGAGGGGCTGAACGCTCACAAAAACCCGGCCCAGATTCCGGGTTGGTTGTTCTCTCTGCTTGGCAATTCCGAGCCGTAATAACGAATTCATGTTGTGTTCGTGGGGCTTATTGATCCGCAGATCATTATTTTCCAGTGCATCCCGATGACAGCAATCCATGGAATTGCTCACGGGGACGGGGGCAGGGGCTGCTCCAGAGCCTGGTGTTGTCTGTTCTGTTCAGGTCTGGATCGGGATGAATCAAATGCCAGCACGACCGAGCTCGTCCTCCTTTAAGCAAACATTTGGTTTTGGTATTTTGAGGCTTCCACCTCGTCCGGGTGACTCAGTTATGACTCCCCATCCCTCAGCCGTGCTCCTGGAAGGATTTACCTGCCTGTTGGCAGGATCCCTCTCCTGGAAAGGCTCCCCCCTGGGCTTGTCAGCTCCTCTGATGGATTAAAAGGGTTCGAGGCAGCCGGTGAAGCGCAGCTTGTACCTCAGCCCAGGCAGAGGAGTGACTGCTGGAGAAAGGGGGGGTGGAAGGCCCTGGGTGTGCACAGAGCAGCCTCTGAGGGCTGCAGAGCCCTCTGGAATGGGATGTGCCTCTCCAAAGCAGCTGCAGCCACCCTGGCAGTGGGGTTCTGCTCAGGCTTGGCCGCCTCGTCCGTGGGATCAGCTCCCAGACTGATGCTCTCAGCCCTGGGTTTTCCCTGGGGGAAGGAAACCAAATCCTGCCATGGCACCCTGTCACTCCCAGCCTGGCAGGGATGCCAAGGACTGAGTGTTTTCCCTGTGCCTCCTCCAGATCCCAGGTCTCTCCCCGAGGGGTTAGTGGGTGCATCTCAGGGATAAGGAGGGGGTGGGAGCAGCTTTCCCGAGCCAAGGAGCTGCACCAGGAGAGCTCTGCCCGAGCACAGGGGGCTGCAGAGCAAACTCCAGGGGCAGGGAAATCATGGATGGTTTGGGTAGGAAGGGACTTGGTGTGTTCAGCTGAGGGGAGACCTCACTGCAGCTCCAACTGCCTGGGCAGGGGCAAAGGAGGGGCAGGGACTGAGCTCTGCTCTGGGGGGACCAGGGACAGCACCCAGGGAATGGCTGGAGCTGTGTCAGGGCAGGCTCAGGTTGGATCCCAGGAAAAGGTTCTTCCCCCAGAGGCTGGTTGGGCACTGCCCAGGCTCCCCAGGGCAGTGGGCACAGCCCCAAGGCTGCCAGAGCTCCAGGAGGGTTTGGATGATCCTCTGTCTCTGCTGTGGAGGTGTCTTGTCGCTGAACTCCTGCCGTGTTTCCTCCTGCCAGAGCAGCTTTATCTCCCGCTCAGCAGGAGGGGGGAGAGCTGGAAAAGGCTGCCTGCTGCGAGGCAGGAGCCTGTCTTCGCTCCCTGGAAACCTCCCATCCATCTGCTGTTTGGAGGTGATAAAGCCTTGGCTCGGCTCTTCCCGGCTGTGTGTGGGGCTGGGATGGGAGAGCCACGGGGCCGCCAGTTCCAGCCATTCCCGGGGCCTTGGCAGAGCTCAGCCGTGCTGGGAAAGGGCTCTGCAGGCCCCCAGAGCAGCACAGATCCAGGGGGGCAGCGGGTTTGTCCCCGCTCAGCTGACAGGGACACGCTCTCCACCACCCCTGCATTGAAACCTGTCACCAAGCCCTGCTTGTGCCACTGGTTTGGTGGCTGTGCCACTGGTTTGGTGTCTGTGCCACTGGTTTGATGTCTGTGCCACTGGTTTTGGTGGCTGTTCTATTGGTTTGGTGACTGTGCTGTTGGTTTGGTGTCTGTGCCATTGATTTGGTGTCTGTGCCATTGTTTTTGGTGCCTGTGCTGTTGATTTGGTGTCTGTGCCGTTGGTTTGGTGTCTCTGCCATTGGTTTGGTGTCTCTGCCATTGGTTTGGTGTCTGTGCTGCTGGAGAATGGAAGCAAGAGATGAGGGATAAAACCCAATCTCTCAGCATCAAGAATCAAGAGAACACAATTGCCACGGCCTCCTATCTGCAACCCAGGCAGCTTTGCAGCTCTTCACTTCTAATTACCCACAGATAACAAGCGAACACAATGGTGAAGGATATTAGAATAATTTACCGTTCATCAAAGAAAGGAAAGATTGGAATCGTTTGCCTTCAGTGTCTCCCTTTCTGTGAGGAGGATCCTGCCCCAGAGACCTTCCAATCAGCCCCTCCTGACAACTGTCGCCCAAAATCCGTTCCAGCTATTAGCAACAAAGTTATTAGCTGGTAATTAACTCCGTAATTAACTCGAAGTGACTTCAGCAATCAACAGCGAGATCTAACGTGAACATGTCGTTAAATCAAGTGCCATTAACGCGTGGGAAGATCTCTCCACGGTGACAACAGGGAAGGTTACCAGGAGGAGGGTGGGAGA